AAAAAAAAAAAAAGGCAAAACAAAACAGTGAAAATATGGGTATGAAGTTCACATTGCTCTCATTTGTTCTTCCACCGATCATTGTGTAATATTGGCAGAGTATGTAAATTCTGCTTTTTTCTGTGTAAAATCTGAGTAACATTACTACATGTTAAACCTCTTGGTTTGGATGTAGTGGTTTTAATCTTTAGTTATTTGGTTTACTCCAATTTAACTGATCTATATATGCACACTGCTTAAAACCAGTGATAAACATTCAGAATGAAAAGCAAGTAATCTAGAAAAATAATAAAACCAGAGCCAAAAAAATCTCAGAAGTCAAAGCAGATTTGAAAAAATTAACCATAGCTATTTTAGCTCTTTTTATTGGTTCCCTTGTTAGACGCAGGCTTTCCCATTCAGACCAGCACATAAGCAACAATACATATTAATTTATGCTTTCATGGGAAATGTTCACCAAAGTGTTTGTAAATCTCTAGAATTCTCAATTTGATAATTACTAATTAGCATTTATTTAGCAGTTGTTCAATTATTAGAGGTAGGTCTCCATGCACATTTTAAAACAATTGCTATAGCATGCATGTGCTTGGCAGAGAAAGAGAAACCACCTCCCCAGGGGTGATGACCACACCTCAATTCTTTCTCCTCCATTTTCCTCTCGGGATTTTGGGCATGCATACAGGTGTCTAGTGTGGTTTTTGGCCATGTGCCGGCCCTACAACCATGAAAATTTCTAGTAGTTACTGAGTTGCAACCACTTTGTGTCATAGGCATCAAAGAAATGATGTGAAAACAGAAGACTCATTCTTTGCCCTAAAAGAGTTGATCTAGGGGCCGGCAGGTGGCATGGCGGTTAAGGCACCTGGACCCCCACATGGCTGACTGCAGTTCAAGTCTTGGACCTGGCAGCTTGTTCTTTCACTTTTCTTCTCTGTTTCTCTCCAGTCTACTTCAAAAAAATAAAAATAAAAATAATGAAAATGAATAAGATAAAATAATTTTTTAAAAAATTATTAAAAAACATTTGTCTAGTCAGAGATAACATTGGGGCAAATAATTGTGTTAAAATAGAGTAAAATAGTGTATACCTGAAAACTCTGTGAGCAAAACAAAGCTATGTCAATAATGGTGGAAGGGAAGGAACTTAAAAAAAATGAATTTTGAAGTGGCTCTTGAAGAAAAATAAGGTTAGAAACATCTCAGTGGAAGAATGAGCCTTTACAAAACATAGATACAAGAAAAATGATGACTTTTAAAGATTTGTAAAGTATTGATATATGCAAGTAATTTTGCAGTTGCATAAATCAGTATTAGCAGTAAGTGGCTTGCCAAGAGAACTTTTGTTATAAATTTGCATGAAAAATAAATTTGCAAACAATTTGTTCTAAGTTTTTTCCCCCCACAGATACTTAGTGTCAATACATAATGGAGAATTTTTAATAGCCATTTGGAGTCTTGTAGATAAAAACAATTAAACACAAAAGAAGAATATGATTAGTTACATTCTCTGGCTTAATCCACTTTCCAGGTGTCATCATGACTTTATTGGTAAGTGAAGTGATAAATAAGCTTGATTAATGAACTAATCATTCAACTTGATTTTCTTTTTTGTGTTTCCTCTTTAATCATTTTTCTAAGTGGTCACAGGTGCATTGAGCTTTATTTTTTAGCGACTTTGTAAAAGGAGAAGAAAATAGAAGGATTACCGAGTTTTCCATTAAAATTCTATGTACATGTGTGGATTTGAGGTTCAGAATATTGTTGACCACCTTACTGATACTGTCTGTCCTGAGGATATATTTTGCCTGATCAAGACTGTTAAGTAATCTCAACTCTAAACATACCAATGAAGACAGAGATCAAATATTGCTTGAATGTAGAAGTCTTCATCAATAAAGGAATTCATTAGTAAATGACAGTTCTTGTCTTTCTTCTTGATTCTTGATAGACATTCTGACAGTATTTAGAATAACAAAAGAACAGATATGCTTCACACGACTATGTCATTAGATAAGAAGGAAGGAACAATTTATATAAGATACTTTAAATATGGAATCTCTATTCAGAAGCATGAGTGAGGAGATTTAAAGAACCCCAGAGGTTATCTAGTCAAATCTTCTTATTTTATAGATGAGAAAAGTAAAGTTCAAGGCTTCAAGTGATTTCAACTAGGTAAATCACCCTGGACTTTCAGTTCAGTGCTTCTTCAATTGCATCAATCTGCTCCCAAAAATGGTTATAACATATCTTACATAATTTAAAATAGCACCATGAAAATACACATTCTCATTAGAATTGTAATGTAAACACAGAGTGTGACAGAGACGTTCTTAGAATCCATGACATTAAATTATCTTGTAAGGACATGCTCAGAGAGAGGCTCTGAGCAAGGTGTGGGGACATGCAAACACCACCTGTCCCTTTGGGCTATGGCAGAACCTTGCAACTTGTCCTTTCCTTGACCCTCACTGCAGGCAGAGCAAAGGGTGGAAATTGCTAAGGGTGTTCCAAGAAACACATCTGATAGAATTCAGGAAACATCCTGACTCCCAATTAGCAAAGTCCAATCCCTCTTCTGCCTCTGTAAGATTCTTTATCCTTCTCTGGGCATGGTGGTGCCCGCCTTATGGTGAGATTCTTTACGTTTCTTCCCCACACCTGCAGCTAGGCTTATCTCCATTAGAAAAGAAGATAATGGGATTTCCCCTGGATGGGATTATTGCCAAGGGATATACTTGGCCCAGCACATGTAAGCCCTTATAGATTTGTTACCTGCTTATTGTCTGTAACACATCAACATATGTATGGAATGTCATGAAATACACATATGTAGTGTTGCTTTGCCCTTATAAATAAAGGTGCCCACTTTGCCTGGGTGGCACAAATTCCTTGGGCTACCTAGGCTCAGGCTGCCTGTGTCTGCTGCTACTCTCTTTGTCTTATTCTTCCCATTTTCCCTTCGATAGAGCCAAGCCCAGAGTGGATGTCGACATTATCTAATAAAAATAAACCCAATTTTATCCATCAGTCATCACTGCCTTTGTATGAGATCAAAGGCAATTCTGTTTTATAGTAACAAAATACTCTCAAATTTATCTTAGAATAAATTATCCTGTAACATTTGTCTGAATTAGGTAGTTGCTGGTATGATTCTTATTTTTAAAAAAGGAAAGCAAGACAGAGAGGTTAAATAATTTGTCAACATTACATAAATTGGAAATGACAGACTCGGGAATAGAACCAATATAGTGCTTTTAATCACTAGTCTTGTAATCAAATCTCAGAAAAAGTCTTCCTACGCCTCACCACCTGGGTTTCTATCCACACATTGGCTATGGTTGCTTGATTCATCTGATTGTTTCCTTTTCTGTAGTACTTCTTGGTTCCAGATTATACTGATTATACTATATTTAAGCTGGTGATACATTTATGATCAGTCTCCTGCCCAAACCTTTTAGGTGACCCAGGAAATACAAGAATGCAAAACCAGTTCTTGAATGTCTATTTCCTTCCTGTATTTTTGCTTAAAATAATTGGAAAATGGATAGAACTCAGGACAGTTGATTTCAAAGTCTAGCTTTCTCATCATATGTGCAAATATAATGCTCCTTGGTCCTCTGTTCCTCTGGCAATAATGATGTGAGAATGGTGGTAGTCTTATACTGTATAATTCCATATAAAAATGATTTTTATTCCCATCAAAGAAAATATAAATTTTAATAACATTGGTTAGGCAATGCTTTCTTAGATACCACACCAAAAGTGCTGAAAGGTATGTAATATATATATATATATATATATATATATATATATATTTCCAAGAAACACATCTGATAGAATTCAGGAAACATCCTGACTCCCAATTAGCAAAGTCCAATCCCTCTTCTGCCTCTGTAAGATTCTTTATCCTTCTCTGGGCATGGTGGTGCCCGCCTTATGGTGAGATTCTTTACGTTTCTTCCCCACACCTGCAGCTAGGCTTATCTCCATTAGAAAAGAAGATAATGGGATTTCCCCTGGATGGGATTATTGCCAAGGGATATACTTGGCCCAGCACATGTAAGCCCTTATAGATTTGTTACCTGCTTATTGTCTGTAACACATCAACATATGTATGGAATGTCATGAAATACACATATGTAGTGTTGCTTTGCCCTTATAAATAAAGGTGCCCACTTTGCCTGGGTGGCACAAATTCCTTGGGCTACCTAGGCTCAGGCTGCCTGTGTCTGCTGCTACTCTCTTTGTCTTATTCTTCCCATTTTCCCTTCGATAGAGCCAAGCCCAGAGTGGATGTCGACATTATCTAATAAAAATAAACCCAATTTTATCCATCAGTCATCACTGCCTTTGTATGAGATCAAAGGCAATTCTGTTTTATAGTAACAAAATACTCTCAAATTTATCTTAGAATAAATTATCCTGTAACATTTGTCTGAATTAGGTAGTTGCTGGTATGATTCTTATTTTTAAAAAAGGAAAGCAAGACAGAGAGGTTAAATAATTTGTCAACATTACATAAATTGGAAATGACAGACTCGGGAATAGAACCAATATAGTGCTTTTAATCACTAGTCTTGTAATCAAATCTCAGAAAAAGTCTTCCTACGCCTCACCACCTGGGTTTCTATCCACACATTGGCTATGGTTGCTTGATTCATCTGATTGTTTCCTTTTCTGTAGTACTTCTTGGTTCCAGATTATACTGATTATACTATATTTAAGCTGGTGATACATTTATGATCAGTCTCCTGCCCAAACCTTTTAGGTGACCCAGGAAATACAAGAATGCAAAACCAGTTCTTGAATGTCTATTTCCTTCCTGTATTTTTGCTTAAAATAATTGGAAAATGGATAGAACTCAGGACAGTTGATTTCAAAGTCTAGCTTTCTCATCATATGTGCAAATATAATGCTCCTTGGTCCTCTGTTCCTCTGGCAATAATGATGTGAGAATGGTGGTAGTCTTATACTGTATAATTCCATATAAAAATGATTTTTATTCCCATCAAAGAAAATATAAATTTTAATAACATTGGTTAGGCAATGCTTTCTTAGATACCACACCAAAAGTGCTGAAAGGTATGTAATATATATATATATATATATATATATATATACACACACAAGATTACCATTTGATTTTTATCAATAGTAGAAGCATTGCACTTTAAAATATGCCATCTAGAAAATACAAAAATAAAGCCCATAGAAGGTGAGAAAATATTTGAAAATCATATATAAAATAAAACTTGTTTCTAGAATATATAAAGAATCTCATAACTTAATAATGACAACAAATAATCCAAAAGAAAAATGGGCAAAAGATCTAAGTATACATTTCTCCAAAGACATGTGAACAGAAATAACCACATGAAAGAATGCTCAGCATCATTAGTCATTAGGGAAATGCAAATTAGTACTTCGTATTCACCAGGACAGCTATAATTAAAAACCACACAATAAGGCATGTTGGTGAGGATATGAAGGATTTGAAGCCCTCACACATTGTGGGTAGAAATGTAAAGTGGGGAAAACCATTCTGGAAAATGTTTTGGCAGGTCCACAAAATGTTAGATAGAAAATCACCAATATCAGAATCCATATTTTCTAAAGCACCCAGGGACCATTTTCCAAGATAGACTATGGCCCATTAAAAACAAAACAAAACAAAAAACTAAAACTTTAAGGCCAGGGGACCAGCAGGTGGTGTGGTGGTTAAGGCGCTGGACACTCCCACATGGCCTACCACGGTTCATTCCAGTCCTGTCTGGTGGCTTGCTTTCTCACTTCCTCTCTCTCTCTCTCTCCACTCTCTCTCTCTAGCTGGTCAAATTAAAATAAATAAATAAATATTACAATTAAGTAATTCTTTAAAAAAAAAAAAAACTTTAAGTACATGGGCATAGTAGTTAAGGTGCTAGACTCACACATAGTCAACTAATGTTCAAGTCCTGACCTGATGGCTTACATTCTCACTTTCCCTTTCTCTAGCTCTCTCTCTGTCGCTTTCTTTCTTATCTTTCTCTGGTGAGTTCATGCGCCATATAGCAAATTAAAAAAATAACAATAATTAAATTAAAAAACAAAACTAAACATTTTAAAAATTGTAACAAATACAAAATAAATGAAATTATATATTGTGTTCATTGATTATAAAATAATCAACTAAAAATTGCTAACAGAATGACAGATAAAAATCTCTCAATTCAAGAAACAAACAAACAAAAAGTTTCTAAATAATCCACAGAACAATGTGTAAGGCTTAAATTTAGAAATATATAAAGTGAAGGCCGGCAGTTTGCATGGTGGTTAAGGCACTAGACTCCCATGTGGCTGACCATGGTTTGAGTCCTGGACCTAGTGACTTGCCTTCTCCTTTTCCTTTCTTTCTTTCTGTCTCTCCTTGATCAAATTAAAAAAAATAACAACAAGTAAAATTAAAGAAATAATTCATACACACACACAAGTGAATGAAAATTTAAAAATAAAACATCAATATTTATGGGATGCTGGTCAAACCATGGTAGTGTGTGCAGACATGCAACTCAGGCTGAGGCCGCATGGCAGACTGAGGCTCAGAATCAAGTTTTGGCCCATCCTAAAAGCCAGAGCAGTGGTGTATGTCTGTAGTCCCAGTTATTTTGGAGTCTCAGGCAGAAGGATAGGGAGCTTACACCATCGTGGGCAACATAGATCCTGTCTGAATGAGCCTGATATGGTGGTTTGTACCTGGGTGCCCAGGTACTAAGGGGTCTGAGACAGGAGGATTGCAACACTGTGAGATGATGTCTTAAAAATACCACACATACTGGGAACCAGCAGTTAGCGTAATGGCTATGTCGCTGGACTCCCACGTAGTCGACCGCGGTTCGCGTCCTGGACCCGGTGGCTTAAAACTCACGCCGGGCGCGTGTGCGTGCGTGCCCAAGATCCCAAGAGGAGAAGGAATTGCGGCGTGACCATCCCCCCTGGGTGGTGATTTCTCGCTCTCTGTCTCTATGTCTCTCTCTGTCTGTCTGGTGAGCGCACGTGCCCTATAGGGAAAATCTCTCCAAAAAAAATAAAATAAAATAAATAAATAATAAATTTAAAAAAAATAAAAATACCACACATACACACACACACACACACACACACACACACACACACACAATTTATGTAAAGCAGCATTGAAAAGGGAATGCATCACACTGAATTCTATAAATTCCTCATTAAAAAAGGTTGAAGCATGTAAGTCAATAATCTATTTTTCTACCTCAAGAGACTAGAAAAGAAATAACACAATTCACTAGAAAGAAGGAAGAGCAGAAATCAATAAAATTGAAAATTAAACAATTAAAATATATTCAATGGAAAAAAGCTAATCTTTACAAAAATCAATAAAATAAATCTCCAGCAAAACTTACAAAAATAGGAAAATGTAATTTACTATTATCTGGAATAAAATAGAGATATCACTATAGATCCTGCAGGCATTGAAAGGTAAGAGAACATGAAAAAAATTTGTTTTCATAAATTTGAATTTAGAATTGGTGAGAAAGTGCCTGAAAAACTGGAAAAAATTAAAATACAAGAAAGATGAAATAAATAATATGAATAGACCTGTAAGTATTAAAGAAATTCAATTTGTAATTCTAATTCCAGAAAAAGAATCTCTAGGCCCAGATAATTTTACTGGAAAATTATACTGGCCACTTAAAAAATAATTAATAGCAATTTCACATAATTTATTCTAGGAATATCAGAGTAAGGAAAATCTAATAACTCATATGATAAAGCCAATATCACTCTGATGCAAAGATAATACAAAAGAAGAAATCTATAAACACATAGATCTTATGCATTTATATGCAAAAGTTTCATTGAAATACTAATAATCTGAATCCAACAGTATCCTAGGAAAAGCAACATGGCCATGTACAATTTATTCCAAGTATGCAAGGCTACTCAAATGTTTTTAAAATAAATCCATTTAATTCACCGTATTGACATGTTAAGGTAAATACATTTTAGACACACACACACACACGTGTATATAAATAGATCAACTGATGAAGTAAAAAAAAAAATTTCATAAGATCCAATGCCTATTCACAAAGTTAGAAATGGAGGATATTAAAGAAATACAGTGAAATTACCTCAACTTGCTAAAAACCTACAACTAACACCACTTAATGATAGAAAGCAGAATGGTTCCTCCCCAAGAAGCTGAACAAGATAAAGATATCTGTTCTATTCTTACTCAATATAGTGTTGTTAAGTCTAGCCACCGTAATACTACAAGAAAAAGAAATCAACATGATTTGCCATTGGTGGAGATATACAGACAAAGGGAACAGAGCACAGAAAGCCAGAAATAGACAAGCACAAACACACTCAATTGATTTTCAACATGAGTGTAAAAGCAATTCAATGGAGGAAAGAAAGGATTTTCCATAAGCAAAGCTGTACCACTTGGATATCCAAGATTTTTTTCATTATTTGCCACAGGGTCAAGTTGCCAAATTTCCAAACCTTTCTGCTCTGCTTCTCTTTTAATTATCAATTCTATCTTTAAATTATCTTGCTCCTCATTTTTCACTGAAGCCTCTTTAGAATGACCTTCATTTCCCATCCTCCTATCAGCGTTACATTCATAACCACTTATCCAATCTCTAGAGTTTCAGTGTATAAAAGAATGAATAATTCTTCCAAGCCTCCAGTGTAGACTTTTCCTAGCCTTCTCCCCCTGATCTCCACTCATTATCAAGTTCTAAAGCTGTTTCCATATTTTCAGATAGCAATAGCAGCACAAAGCTTCTCACTGTGCCAATTTTTGCTCTAGTCCATTTTGTGTGTGTGCTGCTAACAGAAATATATGAGACTGGGTGATTTATAAAGAAATAAGGGAGTGTTGATTTACAACTACAGAGGCTGGAAAGTTCAAAGGAATAGACCTACATGTGTCTGACAGAAGCACAGAGGATAGAGGGCATGTGCAGAGAGACAGCTTCAGACATCTCTCTGTTACAGCAATCAGCTCTCAGTAGAACTCACCCCTTAAGAGAACTGGAACTCACTGGTATCTTGAGACATCGTAAATCTATTCGTGAGAGTGTCACTTTCAAGATGCAATAGCCATGGTCCAATCATCACCTCACATCAAGTTCTAGAACATGAAATATTATCTAAACCATCACAATGCGATATATATATATCCTCCTAGTTTGGATATTACACTATAGTTTTGCAAACTGTTGCCACTGGGGGAGAGTTGATAAAATGTACAGAGGATTTCTCTATATTTCTTACAATTATACATCAATCTAAAGATATTGCAATAAGCATTTCACTTTTAAAACATAAGAAAATACTGCTGCAACATAGGTGAACTTTAAAACTTCAGGTTAAGTAGAACCCACTTACAAAAGTGCCAGGAGATTAAGAATTTGCCTAGAGCTGGAGGAGGAAAGAAAGGGAAAGTGATTGCTAATGGCTGTGGTTTCTTTTTCAGGTGATGAAAATATTCTGAAGTTAGATTGTGGTGAATATACTTAGCATGGAAATGTACATTTTAAATGGGTGAGTTTTATAGTGTATTAATTATATCTCAGTAAAGCTGTAAAAAAGAATCAGAGAGAATTATGACATTTAATTTCCCTGTCAAGATTCTTTAAACCCTCCAAACTTATAGAATTGCCCCCAAATAGGGATTTTTGCTCTCATTTTAACTGGCTTTCCACATTTACAATTGTGCATAACGACTTTGACTTTACTGAGTGAACAGACTGAACTGAACAAAACTCTTGGAGTGAATTATGAAGCCAGTTGCTCAATGTATGAGAAACTGAAATGACTTATACATTAACACACTTCCATTCACACTTTCTCAGCTGGCCTGTGTTTTATCAATCTCTGTTAGAGGAACTGTTAAAGTTATACTGTTTAGTCCTGACAACTGTCTCCTTGGATGGATGTTCCTTTATCTGTTCTTTTATCAATCTGACCTTATCAGTCTCATACTTCCACAAAGTTCCAAATCTTTTCTTTCTATTAGAATTTTCTTCTGTTTTCTAAATAAAACATTGTTTAGGACACCCAAGTCAGGAGATCTATACATGAGGTTTGAACTTAATGTAGGAGTTTTTATGTCCTCAATGGCATTTAGATATCTGAAAACTTCTTTTTCTGGTTCACTCTATCTCTTAAAAAGTATGAAAAAAATAGTAGAAATGTTTTTTTAAAAGTTAAAAGAAACAAACATTTTTTTTATTTTCAAATAATGTTTTTCAAAGTTTATTTTTAGTCCATCATTGTGTTTTATGTGGGTCTCTGACTCATTTCTCTTTTTAGAAACCTACCGGGATCCAATCAGGAGGCTCCTTCATATTCACTAATCTTCTCCCAAAGGCCCCACACATCAGCAAATAATTGGATCAAGTTTTATCCTTTTAATTACATTCCAATCAAATCTCAACACATCGATTATGGGAGACACCTAAACTCTACCAATTGTGTGTACATGCTTTACTTTTTTCATGGGGAGGAATGATAATTGTCTCAAATGCTCATGATAGGTAGGATGAAGTGAGGATTAGCAGACACATTTTTTTTTTTGAAGAGGTTTTTGCTATAGGGCGTGTGCGCTTGCCAGACAGACAAGAGAGACAGAAAGCGAGAAATCACCCCCCAGGGGGGATGGCCACGCCACAATCCCTTCTCCTCCATTCTCCTCTTGGGACCTTGGGCACGCACATATATGTGCCCAGCCTGAGTTTTAAGCCACCAGGTCCAGGACGTGAACCGCTGTTGACTACATGGGAGTCCAGCGACATAGCCATTATGCTAACTGCTGGTCCCAGCATGCACATATTTTTCACATAGAGGTTGAGAATGTGTTCGGTTCCAGTACAATTTAATGACACTGTACTAATTTTTGTCTCAAGATGCTTGTGGTTTCACTGAGGACCAGTTCTTCTGCAACAGGTGCAAATGTTAACAAAATAAAAAAGGAAAACAGAAATAATATAGTTGCATTTTGAAAACAATTCAATTAAATGTAAACAAGAAATTATAAAATTAAATTAAATAAAAAAAAAATTGACCTCACAACTGAATAGGTTCTAGAAAACTCCAGGAGTTCTATGCATCAGAATTTAGGAATATCTCCTTAGTAATATGCTATTCTAGCTAGATAATTGGGTAAGTATAAAGTAAATAACACTTGAAACAGCAAATGACAACTGACTATTACAAGGTAGGATTAGTTTTTACACCAGTAAAGAGTGAACCATTGGGGCATCAGGTGGCATGGTGGTTAAGGCGCTGTATCCCACATGGCTGACTCCTTTGGTTTGGGTGCTGGGCTTAGCAGCTTGAAAAACATGGGTAGGACCAGATGATATAGTATGTAAGCTGCTGGACTCCCACATGGCTGACCACAGTTTTGGACATAATGACATTTTCCTCTTTCTTTCTCTCTCTCTCTCGCTCTCTCTGTCTCTCTCTGGTGAGCACATGTGCCCTATTGCAAATTGAATAAATAAATTAATTAAATAATTAAGTACTTCTTAAGAAAAAAAGAAGAAGAAGAAAAGAAAACCACACCGGGCACATTGTCCTCTCAAAATCCTGAGAGGACAATGGAGTAGAAGGGATTACAGCATGGCCATCTCCCTCAAGGGTGACTTCTCACTTTTCTTCTTCTCTCTCTCTCTCTCTCTCTCTCTCTCTCTCTCTCTCTATTTCCAGTGAGTGTTTGTGTCCTATAGCAAAAACCTAATGAAAAAAATAATGAATTTCTGTCCCTAAACTAAATTATAAGAAGTAGTTTAGTATTTTTACTATAAAATTCATAATTATTATTCAGAGGGTCATGAATATGTGGGGACTAATATCTTAAGATTCACTTTTTATGTGTTTTTAATGGATTGGAATTTAATATATTGAAATATTTTTTTCTATTTTACTGGAAATGAACCAGTTTGTTCTATAATAAATATAATAATACATATAGTAATAACTTACAACTTAATTTTATGTACTAAATTCTTCAAAAGGATTATTAACATGCATAATTGTTTGCATAATGACAATTTAGTATAATTTAAGGTTTGATTCAATGTTTCAGCTTTTCAGAACTTAATATTATAAAAAGAAGTGTAAAATTAAAAACATCTTTAGTTGTTTAGCTGAACTTTAATTTTGTTTTACATTGGATAATGGACATTTATTAAGCACTACAAGATAATGAAGGTCTTGTAGCTTTAACCATCCTAATTCTTGGCTGTATATCTAGAACTCAGGCATACAATAATAATCTAATAGGTTTATGTACATTTAAGACCATTTTAATAAATTAAATAATACTAATATGCCTAAAATTGCTGTAAGTAATTTGCTTTATTGGCAAACTCAAGCTGATCATTTCAAGCAGGTGTATCTTCTCTTTAGAAGTACAATGAAGCCAGTTCCAGTTAGAAAAAGGGCTGTCACTTGTTGGGAACATGAAGTAGATAAAGAGCCAAAAGATGCTTTCAGGTGGAGATCAAAGTCACAAAGTATGTGAATTAAAAAGAACAGATTCATTTATCTTTGTCTTTTTACACCTGGACAGAATGCTAAGAGCCATCTGTCAAAACTGCATGCAATGCAATAAAGGACATTTTGTTTATCTGTGAATAAATTAAATGGACTTGGATGGGATTTTAATGGAAATATGCACAGTTGAGATTTCCAAACAATCAAGCTTGGCATTTCCTTCAACAAGCTTTTGATGGGCTTCTTTAGAGGGCAGTTCTCAAGGAGAATTCCCCTCTCCTCTCTTTCTTCTTGCAATATGGCCATGTAACCAATATTCCTTCTTTAATATTTGACACATCCTGTATCAGTAGGAAATTAGGAAAGAGTTCCAACCCATTTCCACCATTAAAGCTTTGCCTTGGGATGGGTAAATAAATGAGGTGAAAATAATTTTATTTGGAAAGCTAAAATTGGGTTTTTGCAAAAAATGATGGAAATGATGTATTTTTTTTTTATAAACTGACACATTGGTTAACTAAATAAATCATTCACAACAGAATACTATACCAATTTTTTTTTTTTTTTTGAGGAGCTTTTTGCTATAGGGCACGTGCCCGATTAGATTTTAAAATAATCATTTTTTTACTCACTTAATAATTTGTGTCTTAAATATGACTCGTTCTAAAATTAATATTGCTGCCCTTAGCGTTTTGTTTTTAGTTTTATTTTTTTGGCTTGATTTTAATATCATTTCCAAGAGGCTTTAAAAATATATTTGTATGCTAGAGGGTGCCTATACCTGCCAGAAAGAGACAGAGAGAGAGAGGGAAAGTGAGAAAGCACTCCTATGGGAGACAGCCAGGCTGCAATTCTTTTTCCTCTTTCTCTCCTTTCAGAATTTTTTTGGCATACGTGCATCTTTGCCTGGTGAGTTTTTTAAGCAATCTGGTCTGTGAGTCAAACCAGTTGGCCCTGTGGGATGCAGCTTCCTTAATCACTATGCCACTGGTTGGCCCAAGGCTTTTTCTTAAACCCTTGTTAAACATTCTGTTTTTATTGTTTCTTCTGTAGGTATAGTGTATTTATCATTTATTGGGAAAAAAATTGAAATGTTTGATTTGTTGTCATTTTATTTATGGTTTCCCTTTCCATATGTTAATTACTACTTTCTTACAAAATTTTCTATAGATGGTCCACATTTTGCTTTATTCCCCTCCTTCAATGATTAAGAGACATACTATAAGTTCACTTTATTTTTAGAAATACTTTTCCAGCCAACATTTAAAATATTTCTTTTTTTCCTTTTTTTTTGGAGAGCTTTTTGCTATAGGGCACGTGCCCTCACCAAACAGACAGAGAGAGACAGGCAGAGAGACAGAAAGCGAGAAATCACCCCCTGGGGGGATGGCCACGCTGCAATCCCTTCTTCTCCATTCTCCTCTCGGGATCTTGGGCACGCACACACACACGCCCGGCGTGAGTTTTAAGCCACTGGGTCCGGGATGCGAACTGCGGTCAACACCGTGGGAGTCCAGTGACATAGCCATTACGCTAACTGCTGGTCCCACCAATTTTTGACATTTCCATTTTTATTTTTCTTTCAAAGTAAAGGCTCCAAACTGCAGGGGGAAAAAATCATTCTATAATTTTCTTTAATTTTTTAATTAAGAATAAAATGAAGAATAAAGAACAACAGGTACTAAAATAACAGAAAAATCAATTGGAAAATAAAATAAAATTTATAAATAATATTTTTGTCCTTGAAAATAGGATTGTAATGCCTTAAAAATTACTTTATAAAGATCATGTTAGAATGACTGGTGTCAAAATACCTAGCTTCATGGAAGTAGCTGACACAATCATGACAAAGCTGAAAACATTCACAGAAATAAAATATGTCCATGAAATATTACTTTAAAATCTGTCAATGTTTGTAATTATTACATAGATTTGGACTCTTCGAAGAGCAGACTCATAATAATATCATGTGTACACAGTAGAGAAGTTTAAATTCACATTGCTGCTATAATTCTGAGGTCTTCTGCTAATCAATAAGAAGTAGAATTATGATAACTCTTTTCTTTTTGAGATAACTTCAAATATTGTATCTCTAATGAATTGGATTTCTTGAATTACAGAGAACTTTGGAAAATTCACTCCTTCCTAAATCCAGTTAAAACACTTGTAAAAAATTATAAAAATTAAATTATTTAAAATGCTGGAAAATAACCAAAGTTTATTAATTATCTTAAAAGTGTGTGTGTGTGTGTGTGTGTGTGTGTGTGTGTGTGTTAAATAACTGAATCTTAGCAAGATCAGTCAGGGTTTTGGCATTTTTAGTTACCTTATTGCCATCTTTTCTTCCCAATTTGATGGTAGTATGTAAAACTGCTTTTGGAAACCATGTTAATTATAAAAAAATAATAGTGTATCTTTTACGGATTATTCATACCTTGAGTTTAAGGAACAATCAGTCAGTTTGAGGATAGTTCAACTGATAACATCAAGTCTAAAGAACAAAGGAAAAGAGTGAGAAAAAGCAAAGAAATATTCAGTGACTTGTGAATCACCATAAACATACAAACACATCCATATGATGATCTTATTATGAGAGAAAAAAATGCAAGAAAAAAATCTTTGAAAAAAATAAAACTTGGAAAATTAATTAATTAAAAATAAAAATTTAAAAATATTTAAAAGTTGAAAAAAAAAGTCAATCTACACATTCCAGAAGTTCAACATAACACAGATTACAGGACAGTTTTCTAGGTGAACTTGGAGTAACCCAGTTTTCTCCTCCCTTTTTACTTGTCGTTTTCTAAGATAACTGTAAAGTATGATGGAAATGAAATATTCTGACATAGGAAAGAACTGCTTGAAATACTCTGAGTATTGC